TATATATATCGTCAAATAGAACTGCCCGGTAAACCGTAGGCAGAGAGGGAGAAGAGGACAACAAATGAGGGGCTGTGACAAACTGTTTCGTCGGAGTTTCACCGACTCATCAGTATATATTTTTGGTTTTTGATTTTTTAACTCATGATTGGCTACGAATTTGAACATGACTCCAAGGCAAAAGTTGCTTGTATTTTTATTTTACATAACAGATATTTTTTTTCAGATTTTTCTGAGAACTTTTTTTTTTTTTTTTTTTTTTTTTAATGTTCGCGTTCGGAGGGTTTTTGGCGCTTGTTCGCGTTCGGGCGAACATGTTCGCGTTCGCCTCCAAAAGCGAACACGGTGCTACGTAGGTTTCATCCATTCATTTTTTTATTTTTATTTTCTTGATTGTTTTTGGATGAATATTGTATTATAGGATTTTTAATTTGCTTTACCAGCCGTCAATCTTGACAGTGATTCTTAATCTGTGCAAGTGGGGGACCTCACCCCACGAGACTTGAGGAGGAAGGTGGGAGAGAGAGACGGAGGGGCTGGTTGGGGGGTAGTTACTGCCCCGTTGGTCGCCATCCACTTACCCAGAGACCGTTGGGTTGCTCCATTTTTGAGCCTCTGGTAATCCTCTGAGTGACAGATTGTTTGACAATGGCAAGTCCTCAGGCTGCTGGGTGTAAGTCCGAGGCATGCCCGTATGGGGCCCTTACTACAAGCCTTGTGCCCGCCCTAAGTGAAGGCCGGCCCGCATTTCTCAATGAGGCTTGAATATTGCAAATTTGCGGGCCCCTGGTGGGTGCGAGACAGTTGCCACGCCCCAGTTGGTTACGTGAGCCCTGCTCGCGAGCATCAGAAACTTCCGTGAGCCTTCGAGGCTCTTCTGCCTTCGACATGGAAGCAGGCCGCTCGGCGTATCACAAAGCAGGGAACACCTCAGTGCGTGCGGGGTGGTTGGGCGCGCCTAACTGCTGAAGACCCAGGCCACAGTCAGTCTGAACGGGCCTGAGCGCAGACACTTTGGTCCAACATGAAGCTACTGGGCACGCATGCCTCCCAGTCCAGGCAGAAATGAGCCTGGCTGCTTCATATAGGAAAGAGCCATGCCAGGAAGGATTTTCATTTGGTGCACGTCGTGCTCATGTGGAAGCGCTGCCATTCTGGGCGCTGGAGGCCGCTGGCTGGGCGTTGTGTGCTGGGCACACGTTGGCGCAGGCGCTGCTTGCAAGCAGTGCAGCAGGAAACCACAAAAACAGTACGGCCGCTCGCCCTACCCAGCGACTGTAAAAGCTGTTTGGGATCCTAAGAGACTTTATGCGAGAATTCTCTCAATCAAACAGACGAGCGCTCTTGCACCTTCGGCTGTCCAGACTTAGGGGGCGATTTGGTTATTATTTGGAAGTCTTTAATTTAATTTAAATTCAATATATATAGAAATGCAATCAGACTCGCTGACTTTTCCACTTCACATTCATGCAAACAGATGACATGTCACACTGGTGCTCAGCGCCCACTCAAAGCTCAGAGATATGGAAACTCGAAAACACAGTTCAGATACATGCTCGCTTCAACAGGCTATGACACAACTCTCTGTTCGTCACTGTGTACCACTCTGCTGTTCACACACACTCCACTCGGGATCACCCTGGATATCCCACACGCGACACACTGTATCATGCACACTCACACACCACACTCGCCCATCATCTACGGCGGCTATGGCCGCTCAACCCTGCTGGCTATGGCCACGCCACCCCTACTCTGCCCACTCCGTCTTCGGGCGCTCTGCAGACCACCTCGCACAAGTCGCTCAAGCAGTGCTTCCACATGGCTTATGCAGGAATCCCCCAATGGCTGGGCGCTGCCTCTGGATTTATACTTCTGTAGCTTGTTGGTCTGCCCCTCTCCATGCCCCTGGTGCACGCAGTCCCACATGGTACTTGCTTGACTGGACTGTGACTGACTGGGACCGGTACCGCTGACTGCATAGGTTTGCACTGCCAACTCAATGCAGTCGCACTGCCGACGTACCGCAGTTGGGCTCACCACTTGCCCACTTGCCTCTGTCTAAACGTGCGCAAACTTCGAAAGGCCACCACTGGGACCTTCCGGAAGGCTGCAGACTTGGCCTTTCGAATACTGTAGCAGCTACGACCTTGACCTTTCAGAACTGTAGCAGCTACGACCTTGACTTCTCAGGACACCTACAGCTACAACCTCATTAAGACCTCTATCCAACAGGTCTACAGATCGAACCCCTACCACCTACGGACCTACGACAGCCTACCAACTGTTGTGAATATACAGGTCACGGGTTCAACTCTCGGGGTCGACACAGATACTGTACACAGGCAAGGTAAGAACTAGGGATCGAACCCTGGGATCTGCATTCGCTACTGCTAACAGGTGAATACCGTTTCAGAAAGGAAAGCTGTGACAAAAGTAGGAGAACCCTCGTATACATCAGGTGCCCACATATGAAAAGGAACTGCAGATATTTTCCATAAAAAAACTACAGCAATAAATAAAATTCCAATGAAAGTACTGAAACGGTATTCACCAGTTCGAAGTAGCTGATGTAGGACCCAGGGTTCGATCCCTAGATCCCCAACTTACCTGTGTACAATATCTGTGACCACTTGAAGAATTGAACCTGCG